ACCGTCCCTCCCTCCCTCTCTCCCCCACACTCAGGACCAATCGGACGGCTGCTGTCGCGCCCCTCATGGGTGCCTCTCTCGCGCCTCACTTATTGCGTTTATTTGGTTCAATTGATTCCCATTGTTCTGCGCGTGTATTCCGTTCGCTACGTCACGCCGTTCTCCGACTTCGCGAACGTAAGTGCAGTTAAATCTAATTAAATCATAACAATCGCAACAACGCTAACAATGTGTTCGCATTTAGTGGTCGGACGCGTGCCTCCAAACAATCGCTTCACTCTTTCTCGCATTTGTTCTCTTTTTTCTCTTCGAAAGTCCTTTTAATGTATTTTTTTCGCAAACAATGAGAAAAAACAATTGAATTTGTGTTCAGCAGCGCGTGAGACGAGAGCACAAATGCGACGATTTTTCCTTAAAAACACATTTTCACAAAATTCACGCGAAAAACGAAAATTAATTGCTCCGAAAATTTTTGTTAATTTTCTCACAAATTATTCCAAAAATTGTTAATAAAATTGTTAATAAAGTCATAAATGTTTTAATTTTTGCCAATTTTTGTTCACTTTTTCGAACGAATTATGAAATAATTATGAAAACGAAACCAAAACTTATGAAAAGAGGGGAAAAAAGGGGAAAAAGTTTGGAATTGAAATGACATTGATTTGGATTTTGTATAAAACGGTATAAAAAGCGAACCAAAAGTCGAAACGCGATCACAAAATGCAAANAAAAAGGGGAAAAAGTTTGGAATTGAAATGACATTGATTTGGATTTTGTATAAAACGGTATAAAAAGCGAACCAAAAGTCGAAACGCGATCACAAAATGCAAACTCACGAACACTTCAACACAACGAACACAGCGTTCGCGCGCATCACTGAACAACCGGCCAAATGCGGCGTTCGCTTCCGCTACGAGTGCGAGGGCCGCATCTCGGGTGCCATTCCCGGCCAGAGCTCCACAACAGTGCGGCCCACGTTTCCCACCATTCAACTCTTCAACCACAGCGGCCGCGCCAAAGTGGTCGTCTCGTGTGTCACCAAAAGTCAGTGTTCAATCAAAGTTTGCTCGCTTTTCTAACGCCGTTCCTCTCCATTCCCCGCAGACCATCCCTTCCGCGCGCATCCGCACAATCTGGTGGGCAAGAAGTCGTGCAAAGACGGCGTGTGTTCGCTCGTGTTCGCCGACGGCGTCTGCGTTTTCAACAATCTCGGCATTCTGTGCGCCAAACGCAAAGACATTCGCGAGCGACTGCGCGTACGCGAGGCCCTGCGTGTGGACCCCTTCCGCACGGGTTTCGGCCACAAATCGCAAGCTTTCAAAATCATAGATCTGGCGGTCATTCGGCTTTGCTTTCAAGTCTATCTGGAGAGCGCGCCCGACGTGTTCGACGTGGCGCTCGAGCCGCTCGTCTCGGAGCCCATCTTCGACAAGAAGGCCATGTCTGAGCTCGCAATCGCCAAACTCTCGCACTACTCGGCGCCCGTCGGCGGCGGACAAGACATTGTGCTGCTGTGCGACCGCGTCGTCAAAGACGACATTCGGATCCGCTTTTGGGAGGAGCGCGACGACTGTCTCTATTGGGAGGCGTTCGCCGACTTCAAGGCCAGGTGAGTGTCCGGCGCTGACCCGAACGCCCCCCGACTGACCACTCACTGTCCTCTCTTAGCGACATTCACAAGCATTTCGCCATTTCGTTCCGTTCGCCCAAATACTGCGACCTTTCGGTGCAGAACGCGATTCCCGTGAACGTGGAGTTGGTTCGGCCGTCGCCGGTACTGAGAAACAACATGTTTCCGATAATTATGCCCTAAAACTGTATAAGACTATAGAGAAGT